TTGCATTTGTATAATGTTGTTGTTATTATTAGCAGTATTATATATTATGTTAATATTTATATTTGTTTTAATAAAAATAATTTTAGATTTGTCCACCTGTTGGGTTTTGGAGAGTATGCATCACCATATGGGGCATAAGAATAGGAGGACATGTGTTTCGATATAACTATTTACATCCAAACAATTTTTTGACCTTATTTTGTTATTTTTGTTAATTTATTCGTTTGCTGGAAATTAAAACTGAATTTAGAAATAGTTTTGAAATCAATCTTTGCACCTAACAATGAAAATGAAATATATAGGCTTATTGATGTCTTCAGTGATATAAGTACAATACAGTTTCCTTATCCACGGAAGTAATGGAGTAGAGTAAAAGTAAAATAAAGAGAAAGTAAAGAGGCTGAATAGAGTAGGCTCGTTCTTTATCCTCGCGCAGATGGTCTGTTTTCTCACTAGTAAAGCATTGTTTTTCCATCTACAATTTTCATCATGTAAATAGCAAATGCGCCATGGCCCGACACAACTCTTAAAGGGAATGAGAGATGAGACTCTGATTGGTTTAATGCAGGTTATGCTCAAAACACCCAAAACTCATTAAGAGAATAAGCACAACCCTGTTAGACCATGCACCAGGACTCAAAGCGTATTTTTCCATCCTTAAAATAGCAAAAGTGGGTTCCGACATGCTTTTGCACTTTAAACTTTGCTACTAGATCGTTAATAGAGCCATTGGAATTGGCAAAAAAGTTAAACAAATGTCTCTTAAATTTCGTTCCAATCAAACAAAATGATCATTATTTCTGGTTGCCCAAGTTAATGCACCCTCGAAGGGAACAAGATCACAACATCAACCTCTTTGATAGCCGTGTTACACATTATAGTCCTCTGAATAATGTCTCGTCCAATCATGCTAGTTTTCTGAAGTAATTCCCAACCTTGTCTTAACAGAAAATCTCATCCCAAAATGACCTTTTTGTTGACAAGTTTGTGGGCATTCGTGCTTTTAAGGGGACTGACTGTATATTGCATTTGGTTTATACACATTATAAAACCAAAATACATTTGTTTTAGCTTTATGTGGATATATTTCTCGTGAATCAAGTATTTCCACTGTGTTTACTGACCCAGAGGCTTCATAACAACTGCAAAAACTTAAAAAACATGCCTCAGAGCAACACTCCTGGAGAAATGTGAGTCTTTATCGATCAATGATTGGCTCCTGTACTAGAGAGTGGGGCTTCACATTACAATTTCCCCCATTCAAAGCTATATAAGTAACAAGTCGTGTATATTCAATAGTCTTTGGCTGAGTTAACACCAAATGGGAGGAGAACATATGCTTCACATCACTCAAGTCGCTATAGATTACTTGTGGCATAGATATTTGTAGATTATTGATCACATAGTCATTCGTAAATGTATTTTGTAAAACATGTGCAAGTATACAAGTACGCTGAATCAAAAATGCCTGGTTTAAACTGGGTCCCCTTTTCATTTCCCTTAAAGTTCATTAAAGGGAACTGATACATCTCACACATGTCTGATATAAGCATCAATTGTCTTGCATTTCCTGAAGTGTCAAAAACGATGTTTTTAAGGTGGTAGTATCTGTAGCCATTGGCTGTGAATGTTTACCCACCTATTTGTTTTTCCATGAAGATGAGCTGAAGGTCATGTTGTGAGAGTGCACACATGCGCGCGCACACACATACTCAAGACCAGAAATAGCAGCCATTAGCTGACTGTCTGAGTCTGGACCACTTAATTTAATATGATTTATTATGCGTAAATGTCATTTTGGAGTGATTGTGGAAGCCATTTATTCAACGAAGGTTCTTGGAGTTTTTAGCTTTTAGTTTTTAGTTTTTATATTCATGATGGAGCTTTACAAAAGGATTGGATTTTTTTTTTTGTTCTTTTCTTTTTAAATGTTTTTGTAAGTCAAAACTGTAAACCATAACATTTTGTATTATTAGAATGTAAAATAGCTGCTTTTAAATTTTAATTTAAAAATAATTTAACTTGTTGAATTCCCAGCATCACTATAGTCTTTAGTGTCACGTGATGCTTACTACTGTTATTATTAATAATGTTGGAAACTGTTGGGATTTTTAAATTGTTTTCCATGTACATTTTTTTCTTTAATTTGTCCTTTAGTTAAATGTCAGTTTTGTTAAGTCTGACATCACATTTTACAAAAATATTATTAATTAATTAATTTTCCTTCCGCTTAGTCCCTTTATTAATCATGGGTCGCCACAGCAGAATGAACCGCAAACTTAATTAGCATATGTTTTATGCAACGGATGCCCTTTCAGCCGCAACCAAAAACTGTAAAACACCCATACACTCTTTCATTCACACAAGTACACTACTAGTTTATTCAGTTCACCTGTACCGCATCTCTTTGGAAAGTGGGGGAAACCGGAGCACAAGGAGCAAACCCATGCGAATACGGGGAGAACATGCAACTTCCACACAGAAATGCCAACTTACCCAGCTGGGACTCGAACCAGCGACTTTCTTGCTGTGAGGTGACAGTGCTTTCCACTGTGACACTGTGTTGCCTGAAAATATTATTAGGCTGGCTTGTGTAGCAAGCCAGACTACTGTTATCCTATTAAACTTAATATTATTCTTCTTCTTCTGAGACTATCTCCTCCTAGGCCTTTTAAGCTATGACCATCAAACTCGGGTCAGACCTCCGAACTATTCTGACTCGAGTTGCTATATCTTTTCCGACTGATCCGACTTTCGGTTTTCCGAAAAACGTCCCGGGACCGTCGGAAAAATCCCATAGACGTAACATTGGATCAAACTTTGTGACCTCATAACTACGCATCAGAATGTCACACAGACTTCTAACTGGGCTCATTTTACTCAGACTATCAAACTGCCAATGACCACGCCCTAGCACTTTTGGACCCTAGAAACCGTCCCATAGACTTCCATTGCAAAAGACTCTCATTGACTTTACATTGGATCAAACTTTGTGAGCTCATAACTCTGCATCAAACTGTCCTACAGACTAATGGCTGAGCTCATTTAACTCAGACTAGCCAGCAGCCAATCACTGATGGCCTTTTAACTTTCTAACCACACCCAAACAACCAGATACTGCACCCTAGCAACTCTCCCATAAACTGCCATTAAAGAGGTTCAGACTGATATTGTCATGCTGCAGTGTGAAAGAGACATGGGGGTTGTTTTTAACTGTTCATACTGGCAAGAAGCTTTGATACATCATCAGTCTAAGCTGTCAATCAACTCCATAGCAACAAAACAGACTAACCTAGCAACGATATAACACTAGCTATATCTCAGTATCAGAACATCGTAGAGAAACGGGGGTTGGCTTGTTTGACTCATGCTCGCACACTATCTATCTATCTATCTATCTATCTATCTATCTATCTATCTATCTATCTATCTATCTATCTATCTATCTATCTATCTATCTATCTATCTATCTATCTATCTATCTATCTATCAATCATGCTAACAACATGCTAATTCATGCTAGAATCATGCTAGTCACATGCTAATTCATGCTAGAATCATGCTAGTCACATGCTAATTCATGCTAGAATCATGCTAGTCGCATGCTAATTCATGCTAGAATCATGCTAGTCGCATGCTAATTCATGCTAGAATCATGCTAGTAACATGCTAATTCATGCTAAAATCATGCTAGTCACATGCTAATTCATGCTAGAATCATGCTAGTAAAATGCTAATTCATGCTAGAATCATGCTAGCAACATGCTAATCAATGCTAGAATCATGCTAGCAACATGCTAATTCATGCTAGAATCATGCTAACAACATGCTAATTCATGCTAGAATCATGCTAACAACATGGTAATTCACGCTAGAATCATGCTAATAACATGCTAATCTATCTATCTATATATCTATCTACCTATCCATCTTTCTATCTATCTTTTCATACTTTTTAAAACTGTTTAAACTAAATAAACTATTACCATCAGGCTTTCACAAGCCAGCCTCAAAGTTTGTTCTCAAACTTTAAGAATCTAGTTAGAAATATTATCATATAATATCATCATGTTAGACTGATTTCTAAAGGATCTTTTCAAATTAAAGACCGCAGTAATGATGCTTGCTGAGTATTTAACTTTGAAACACCAATATTTTTATTGTAAAATAAATTACAATAGAAAAATTACATTTATCATTTTAAATTGTAATTATTTATAACTATTATTTTTATTACATTTTTTAAAAATCCTTGTAAAATTTACCAAGTTTTTGAACAGTAGTTTATATTTATCACCATTTCAAAATACTTACAAAACTCACAATTTTTAGTACACTTTTCATGAAAAACTATTTTTGTTCATACCTGAACTTGCCTTCACACACTAATTTTCAAGTCTGAACTGTGTAAAGTGTGTGCTTGCGTGTTTGGCGTCATGTAGTTGGCTTTTATTTCACCAGAATAATGTAAACACAACATTATAATTTGCTTAAACTTTTCCTAACTTTCCTAACTAGCTTCTAACTAAGAGGAATGTTTTATATTCCAAATGCGTCTTGTATGCCAATATTATTTAGTAAACCTCTACATTACCATTTACTGTGAGTTTGTACATGATTTATGAAAAGCCTGAAGTGCTGTAAGTCTATAATAAGCAGTGTTGGTGTGGTTTTTCAATCTGCCGTCTTTTTTGCACAATCAGCCCTGCCGCACAATAACACCGATATAAGCCATCTGCAGTTTAATGCATGTTTTAGACGGTTTTTTGCAACTGTTTTGGGCAGAACATGACAGTTCAAGATTGGCTTAATTGTTCTAAGAAAGCACGCCTCAGTTGAACGGACAGAAGAATGAAGGAGAGCTTTAGCTCGGTCGGAATGAAGCATATCTGGACGGCCCAGCGCTCTGAACGACATCCAAACCTCCCTTCAAACGTGTTCTCAGAGCAGCGCAACAGCCTTATTGATTTCCTTTCTTCTTCTCTCCCTCTCGGTTTCAGATTTCCTGTTCAAGTTCCTGGTGATTGGCAGCGCCGGGACTGGGAAATCATGCCTCCTTCACCAGTTCATAGAGAACAAGTGTAAGCCCATATTAATGTCTCACTCGCACAAAGACTTGAATTAAAACATGACCTTTAATTCTCAAAGCGTTCTGCGGAGGCCTTGAATGTTAATTCTTCACGAAACCGGAGTAGCTTTACATGCTTTTAAAACATGAATAAGGTGATGTTAAGCAATAAATGACAATCATGTTGCGCAGTAATTTCAATGTCAGTCTCGATTTACTGAGGAAATGAAGAAAAGAGGCTTAATGGCTGGTGATTATGTGTTTGACATTGAATAGATTTCGAATGACCCTACCTTGAAGTTGTTTTCCTAGACAGGGTGAGCTCTGAATGTGTTAAATATGAAAACGGAGTATGCGCTGACTTTAGGGAGTCTGCAGGGGTCATGGCATAAATCCAATTAAATTGACTTGATACTCTGAAGTAAAAGTTTGATCTGAAATAGATTCAGTAAGTTTAAAGGTATCATAGAGTGCATGGATTCAATTAGTTAAATTGGTCTTTGATACATACATAGTAGGTATGTGGCTTATAGGTAGGCCCACACGGAATCTGTGCATGCAGAAATCTGCAGATTTTTAGCCCATCATTGAGTTTATATATTTACTTGTGTAAATGTGTGTACATTTATATTTATTCAGTTTTTAAATTTATTTCACTATTAATATTGCGATATAATTGTAATATTAAAATTTTCTTAAGATTTATGTACAATACAGTTTATAAAGTGCTATGTTCTGTCTTTTAGTAGATAGATTACATGAGAGACTTGGTATAGGTGGATCTTATTGGATTTTTATTGTAAACATTGAATAAAAGTTCAAATGTATTTTTGTTATTTCATATTTCATGCGTGCAAAATTCAGATAGAGGGCAGGAAGTAATTTTTCTTTATAGGAATTGCTAGCAGAACTTCAGAATGTGTATGTTTTGCATTGTTTATGGTTGTTAAAATCAGTCCAGACCAAGAAACAACAAAAACCTATTTAGGCTTGGGCAGTATCCAAATTTTGAGACCGTCAAACCTCCTCCCTATTTTACCTAGAAATCCGGTATTACCGTGCATGTAAAAAAAACTATGACGTAAGTCTCAGACAGCATCACCAAACTGTTGGCTTGTGTCTAAACCATTCAGAAACTGAACACCTGTTTGTCTTAGAGATATGCGCCGGACACTCTCTTTCATTCACACACACACAGAGAGAGAGACAGAGAGCACTAAGCGACGCACAGCACCACAGTCTCTTTTTCATTCACACACACACATAAATAGAGCACCAAGCGACACACAGCACCACGCTGTCTCTCATTCACACACATACGCATACACATAAACAGCATCCACGTGGATGTGCGCTTGTCGCTTGTTTGGAAGCGATATTGTTAGACTGCGCGCCCGCTCCCTTTCAAATTACACCAGAGTTACCAACCGCTCCTGCGATTTATTCGGAAATTTATTCCCACACCACAGGAAATCTGGTCGGGTCTCGCAGCTCCCGTGGTACAGGAGCGGGAATGCAAACCTCTAGTTCGTGATTACCACAGCTCCCTTCTCGTTCGGTCAAAACCGGAATAGGGTTGTAACAATATACCGGTATGACGGTTTACCACGATTTGAACGTGCACGATTATCATACCATGAACAATTGCATATCAACGGTTTTAACCCTTAAAGACCGAGACAGCCGCCCGCGGCTAAAAATAAGTATTGCTCTTAAATGTTTAATAACTTTTGATCCGCTGATCCGATTAATACAATTCAAAGATTGGCATAAAGAAGAGAATCTCAGCTTTCCAGTGCTGTATCACATAACATTCGCGGACTTTCAGAGGCTCCGGAATCAGTGCGGTTACGTCATCAACATTTGACAACGCTGATTTGACAAAGAAACGCTCGTCACTGTGTCTCCGGACAAATCAGACATGATACATTGATGCATTATCCCTCCTCCATGCCCAGATTGGTTCAAACTCGCTATATCACAACCAATAAGCATAGGTTTCACTTTTGTTTGTGGACCAAGCTTTTTGAACAACACGGAATGAGAGAAAGGCATACATTTATGCGCGGCTAAATAAAACGCAAAAAAAAAGTTTTGCATGAAATAATTCTCATACTAAGTACTTTTGCATGCACAGCAGCACAGAAACATGACAAAACAGTGACACAGCAAAGACGAACTGCTGCTCTTGCTGTTTTCAAAAGACGTAAATGAAGATGCAGCTGTTTGTCTGCATTGCAGACAACCATATCCATATCCATAGACAACCATATCCATGCTGGCACATAAACCTAAGGATGTTCCATATTGAATCTATTTTCGTTATGTAACTATTTATAGTATAGTAAATATTTATATCTATTTTTTACTGAGGATTTGCACCATGTTTATTTGGACTTTATTTGGACTTTGACACATTATTTATTATTTTCTTATTTTTATTTGTTCATTGTAAGTGGTGTTGTTTATAGTAACTAAAAATATATTATTTGGAAAAAGTCAAATTTGCTTCACTGTTCTATTATTTTGTAACATTTGTAACATACCGTATACCGCGAAACCGTCAAACCGTGGTATTGTTTTAGACGATTATCATACCGTGAAAAATTCATACCGTTACAACCCTAAACCGGAAATACTGCCAAACTTCAGGTCACTTGGTGCGCAACTCGTCATCTTACCTCTCTCTCTCTCCTCCACACTGTCCCGTGATGACTATCACGCATACGCATTTGTAGGCATTAAATAAATAATATTTATTGTTTAATACTGGTCTCTTATTTAAGTGCATTGTTTTTTATGACTGTATAACGGTATTAAAACTGACACCGTTGCTATTTTTAGATCTCGCAGTATACCATATTACCGCCCAAGCCTAGACTTATTATAGAGTTCTTTAAGTTCTTGCACAAAAAGTTCAGGAAACTCACTGAAAATGGTAGAAAATTTGGCATATAATAAACACTTTCAAATATATACTCTATCAGGGATGTGATTCTTCTGTGTAAATATGGATTTCCGCATTTTTTGAGCTCAATGTGGCGACCCCTGAAATTAACGTAAATCTGAAGTGGAAGTTGGGGGTGGGGAGGGTATCAATAATTCAGTATCGGTAAGGTTTGTCATCAACAAAGCAGACAACCTGATAGTTTGTGTACATAATAGAGACCATTTTGAGGAATGTAAACAAAAACAATGGCCCTTATGTATTTCCTGTTTTACATTTTTTTTATAGCTTCTGAGAATCCAAAAAGACACGCATATTGATAAATGTTTACGATAGATGTTTTAAAATTAAGTTATGATTGAATTGCTTCATGCTACAGTTATAAAATAGTTTGATAACAAGCAGGAAGTGTTCATAGGCCAATGACATGACCACATTAAAATGGTCTGAAATGTGCAACCTTATAATGTGCGCATAAGAGGAAGCTGCTGACAGTATGCGAGATTATGAAATCGTTTTGAATGTGCGGCTATGCTTTTTTTTCTGCTCTCATATTTGCATGTCACGATCATGTGCATTCTATGTACATTATAAATAAGGCCAGAATGCACATATGTTATTATATTCTGCAAGTCATCTGTCCCTATGTCTTATTGTTATTGTTTATTTAGCGCTGCAGCCTAGCACCTGAAATTTAATACCTGAAAGTTTAGATGATATTACAATTTTAGAAAAAAATTCGTAGAAATATATGGCGGCATATCAATGCCAATATTAATCGCGCGCAGCGGTGATGTTTGCGCGCGAGGAGAAGTGAACCGTGAGCAGATTACAGGTCTACACGCGAGAAAACTACAGCTCGCGAGTGCACAGGGGATCTTCACGCCATGCCTACAGCGCGCGCGCGCGATCAGTTCTCTCCGCTCGCTCACTGGTTCTTCTCTCTGCTCGCGCGAAACATTTCGGATTTTTGTCAGTCCTGGGGCGGGACTTGGTTTACTTGTTATCTCTAACGCTATTGGCTACTCTTCCTTTCCGGAAGTTAGCCGGGATTGGACGCAGGTTAAAAGATCACGCCGTTAAATATATATACAATTTGCAAGTCATAATCATAAGAAACTTTCTGAGAACTTTATGAGGATTCAATCTCGAGAAACAGTCAAATAATAATAATTAATCTTCTAAAATAATGACTTGCATTCTTGTAACATGACTTTCTGAACCCATTTGATTTGTCCCGTGCAGCACTTGTTGGTTTGTTGTATTTTACTTCATTACTAACCCATTATTAACCACAACAGCAGTGCTCATTATTACACTTGGGGATGATCTTTCTAGGAAATATTGTCTTCAGAAGAGTTTATTTGCTTTTTAGATCTTTTCCATACATCGTACGCACAGATGATGATGTGCGCGCGGGACTTGTTTTCTCGCGCTGGATCAGTTGAGCGCGCGCGTGAAGATCCCCTGTGCGCTCGCGAGCTGTAGTTTTCTCGCGTGTAGACCTGTAATCTGCTCACGGTTCACTTCTCCTCGCGCGCAAACATCACCGCTGCGCTCGATTAATATTGGCATTGATATGCCGCCATAGAAATAATAAAAACTATTAAAAAGCAGGAACTAAGCTAAAGGAAACGAAAATGATAAACTGGGTAAAAAGTTTATTAGGCAACTCAATTAATATTTTAAGCCCTTTAAACTATTTAATGGCTTGAAACATTTTGAATTATTGACCGACTAGTAGTTTATTTATCACAAGGAATAAAGAGTCGACTAAATTACAGGAGAAATTGTATTCTGTGGACACAAGAGAACTAACAGAGTTAGTTGCGCCATCTAGTGGCAATGTGTGGATCTGTCCTGACTTTGAGGGACGAAGTATAAAGCTATTAAATATTACTTGGGTGACTATTAAACTGCTAAACAATTAAACTGATAAACCAAAAAAAAAATAAAATACTATTAAATTTTGTGGCCAATATTCAATATTTATATAAAGAGTATTAATTATTATTGTTTATAGAATTTATATTATTATATTCCATTTAGTTTTTTACTTCCTGCTCTCCATCTGAATTTTGTGCATCACCAGAATTTACGAGATTGCAAGCAACCTATTTCAGCTTGGATTGTGTTTTTGAACACGTAACAATGTAATCCAGAGGTTTCAAAGAGATTGTTATTGAAAGGCAGGGCCACAAAATCTATATTTGACCTGACAGCAAACCAACAACCCGTAAATAAAACGGGAAAACGTTGGATCTTACAGAACATTTACCTTGAAGTGGGGAGAGAGTGGCCTTAAATCAATTATTTCAGCAATCCATTCTCCACCTCTTACCACTCATGTTGTGTCACAGTCAAACAGGACTCCAATCACACCATCGGCGTTGAGTTCGGCTCCAGGGTTGTCAATGTTGGTGGCAAAACAGTCAAACTGCAGATCTGGGACACGGCTGGACAGGAGCGCTTTAGGTACTCGCCTGTGATTGGTTGATTTGGAACTGCTCACTGTTAAAGGCGGACTGTGATTGGCGGAGGTTATTCACTGCTTGTGTGTGTTTCAGGTCAGTGACCCGCAGTTACTATCGTGGAGCAGCAGGAGCTCTTCTCGTGTATGACATCACAAGGTAAGGCTGACACCGCGGGTTACCCCACTACAAGCTGTGGAATGGTGAAAAAAATTATAATTAATTTTTTTTTTCTTATAGGACATAAACCAAAACTTGAACAGAAAGAACAGTATCCCCTATGTAAAATTTCAAAAACACATTTCATTTTTTTGGTATTATTATTAGATTTTAAATGGATACATATTAGTTTAGTTATCTAGTTCAGGGATTCCCAAACTTTTTTATTCCAGGACCCACCTTGGCAAGTTATTCAATCTCAAGACCCACCATAATATTTTAATATGGAAAAATGGGTTAAAAAATGTATCCATTCAAAGCAGTCAAAAATAAATGGTGTGTGGCTTTTTGGATTTTGCGATTTGATATGCACAAAATGAGGCTCGAAGTGCTTTTTGTGGGATGCTGGCTGTAACTGTGATCATTTTTTTGTTGAAAAAGATACTCTTCTTTTTTCAGAAGAGAATATGATCAATCTTTGATCAAGCCCCTTGATTATGATCAAGCCTCTTCACATCGCAGTAAACTCCACTGCTTGTGTATATTGTCATAAGAAACTAAACAGCTTTTTGATCGACTACTACAAGCTGGGAAAACGTCAGATAAATATGCCAATGCAATTAACATTATAGTTGAATTGATCTAATATTTACGACATTTGCTTGAGGAAGGAATGATGGGGGTAGTTACAGTATTATTACTGTTTTCCATAACATCTATGCCCTTCCATAACATTAGGTGACGTTAAAACTAACAGATAGCACTATTTAGCTATTTATTGATTAGCAATCTGTCAATGTTGGGATGTAAAAAAAAATATGGGACAACAAATAGCTTCAAATGATAGTATTCATAGCAAACATTAGAAAATATTGACAATAAAAGGTTTAGCCTATTAAAATCAAGGGCCTATCCAGAAATTAAATAAAGCTATAAAATCTGCTTCACTTTTAATTGTAATTGCATATTGATTAAAGTTACTATAGTTATTTAATGAAGAGCAGCAAATGAATCTCTCGTTGTGTTTTGTTTGATAACAGAGGTGTTAATCTAAGAATGCACAGATCTATAATGAAACATTCAACTACTTTAGTAACTGTTTGTGCTCATTTAAGAGAAAATTAAGCAAAAAAACGAAAAAAAGAAGCACTTTTCCGACGGTCTCTTACTGAGAGCTTCGCTCTGTGTGAGCTTTCTCGGCTAAACGCAGATTGCGAGGGCTCAAACAGAGCAGTGCTCGTAATGTTGAGCGAAAAAAGAAAAAGACAGCTGTGAAACATAACCAGCTTTGTCTTTTTGTAGGAAACACACTTCAGATATTTTTGGGGTAAGAGGTTTTTGAGTTATTGCCATCAATCGTACTGGTTTTGATTTACCGCAATGTAAATATAGCTGCAGCTGTGTGATGTTGCGCAACTCACCTTTGTTCACTGTGCGACCCACAGTTTAAAAGCCCCTGATCTAGTTAGTTCCTTCCTTTCCTTTTTATTTTTCATTTAAACATTTCTGGATTAAATGTGCATTAAACACAAAAATCAGCAATCTATATGTGTTTGTTACCTCAAATCACAATTATATCCATCAAATTTCCCAAAAAACACGATAAATTACCTAAAGATACTAATAAGTGTACCTAATGCCCCTTGGGGTGGCACTGAATAAATGTATAATCTGTATATCCTGCATTTTGCATTGTGACTAGCTGTAAAGCATGGGTTTTTAACCTTTTAGGACACACACCCTCCCCAAGTTTGTCTAATTTCACTCGCTTCTACCCATCAGCCCTCCCATGAGCCAAAATTATAATGCATATGCAAACATCATTTACATATAACTTGCTGTGTTTAAAGTGTGTATCAAAATTACAGTGAAACAATAGTATATAGCTTGCGTGATTCAGTGTGATGGCTAAGCCTGTTTCTGTGAGGACAACATGCTAATCCATGGTTGGATTCCTGACACAACACGATTAGGCATGGGCTGGTATGAGATTCTGATGGTATTATAATCTTAGATATAAATATCATGCTTTCACAGTATGACAGTCTTGCAATTACTGCTCTAAAATATATTCTTTTTAAATGTCTGGGTAAAAAAACAACAACTTTTTTTCCCTTTGTACACAATATATTTTAATTTGGGAAACATTTCAAATATTTCGGAATGGTAAACATGTCAGGCTAAATAATTCACATGAATTATTGACTTCTGTTATCTTCATTTGTTTAAAAAAACACAGATTTTGTTTTACAATTTAAAACAGCATATTTGTATACCTTTTTTTTTATGGTTTTCCTAAAAAAATAATAAAAGTAAATAAAAAAATCGTACTCCTACCTTAGGAATGGTATAGCAGAAAATTCAGACTGTTTTAAACCTTAACTTTTCCAATCTGTGGTATACCTTGAACATGGTTATCGTCCCATGCCTAGACACGACTAATCATAAATCATCTTCCACTGTCATTAAGCATGAGCCATAGCCTACTTGCTTTTGATGTACCTACATACTGAAAATGCTGCTTCGCAAAGCCAAGTTCACTATTAAGACAATACTCTGATTAAGAGTCTACCATGTAAACATCCATTTTTGCTTGCCCTAATACGACTAAAGTCATAATTGAACTAAACAGAAATGGAATTTAGACATTTGGAGTATGCATAATTAGAGGCATTATTGAAGTAAACACCGCAATCAAACCATTAGCGTCACGTCAGACTTTTCACCGCATTTTTGTTCCACACACACACGGCTGTCAGTAAAGGACAGCAAACAGACACACTGCAAAATGCGGAAGTTTTTTTCTGTCCATTCGGCGTGGGGTATTAAATTTCATTAAAACAACACTCTTCCACCAGTCTTTACCATACTCGCGTCCAATATCTCATGAATAAAATATTCATTTTTAAAAAGTGAAAGTGAAAGTGAAACTGTCGAACTGCAGTTAAAAGGAAAAACACTCAAAATAACATGAAACTCTACAAGAAACATGGTGATGCAACATTCAAATAGCACTTCATGTAAATGTGTCGATTATATAAATGTCTTATTCAGATTAAGGCAAATGACTAGATTACTGATGTGCATATAAACGTAGTCAGTAGTGTCAAAATTCAAAGTAAGTTAAAGATCCAGAAGGGCATCCTGCTGATTTGATTTAGAAGGGCACTTTTTTGTCAGACAGCTCACTGGTTTTACTTTCATTCACCATCATGAAAAAAAACCCAATCCATTTTATTTGTATATGTTTTACTGGAACTCATTAACTCTAAAGTTAATGAGTTAACTCTAAGGCTTGCCTCAAATTCTCGCACCTCCTTTAATAGGTGCTACTTTAGATGCTCCAAGTATGGCTGGTATGGTTATTGCTTAGTAACACATAAGGAACAAACTAGTGTAGCTGGCTATGGCTTTGCAGTGTCTCCTGTTTTCAAAATAAGACTCCCACATACATAGTAATTTAATAATAAACTTTGAACTTAAAAATCAGGGAGGAACAATCATTGTAAGCTGCTTGTAATGTCCAGATGATGTAGAACGTGACCTAAAGTACATGGAAATCTTGAGGACGTGCTAATGAATCCTTCGTAAGTCAGGGGACACCAATCTTGATCCTGGAGGGCCGGTGTCCCTGCAGGGTTTAACTCCAACTTGCCTCAACACACCTGTCTGGGTGTTTCAAGTATACCTAGTAAGACCTTGATTAGCTCGTTCAGGTGTGTTTGATTAGGGTTGGAGCTAAAATCTGCAGGACACCGGCCCTCTAGGAACAAGTTTGGTGACGACTGCACTAAGTCATGCAACAGTCTGCATTGTGTTCTAATTATCCTGCTTTTTACTGGGGTTGTACAATCGCTGAATTTACATAAGAACAAAGAGACAATGACATTTCTTTTTATTAATTTTTATTATTCAACTCTGCCCAGATTTCATTCATAGGGCACTTTTTAATGGTTTTCTTGTGCATTAATAGTCACATACACTAGTCTAGTATCAGTGTCCCCCCCCTATATTTAATTTATTCATTCGAAATATCCTAAATTCAATGACATTCCAGGATCTACCATACATTGTATGTTTTTTGACTGGGTTCCTCAATTCTGTCTGCCTTGTACACAATCAAAATCCTAAGCCCCTATGACTGCGCTGTAGAATTGGATCATCTCCAGGTTGTCATGCAGCTGTCATGGTAATAGAGACGAAGACAATGGAGAAATAAAGACTGACAGCGCTGTAATAAAATGTCATCTTCTGGCGACTGGCAATCAGGAGTCCATTAGACTGGTTGTGAGTCCATAGGGGGAAAGAACAACTAAAGATGAACACAGTGATGGATTGTGTGTGTTTGAGGGTCATCCTTCAGACCGGACACACTTTCACTGTTTTACACTCAAAACATAATTAACGCACTCACTTTCACCCATTGCTGTGGCCACAGGCCAGCGGGTAGCGTGGGTGACTCAAACAAAACAAGATTGCCTGAAAGCGTGACGAACACACACACACACACACACACACACACACTGAGGGAATGTGAAGGTCAGCATTATGAGTCATGTATTGTCTCACCGTTTCTCAGGTCGTCACAGACATTGACTTCTGAGAAAAGGTATACACAGTGAAGTACTGTAAATATTCAGTTATTCCCTCAAAGGCCGTTTCTCTGGGATTTATCATAAATGTTACAAATCAGGGTAAATATTGGCTTGAAAATTAGCAGCGCACTTGGGCTTAGTCAACATGATTAATAAAAAGTCAAGTTAGCTTGAAGTAAAAAAAGAAATAATAAAAAATGAAGGTTGATTTCCTGGAATCAGATAAGCTGTGCTGGTTATTAAATGTTTGTTTTCATATTTATTCAAATCTAACCTCTGAAAGCACTTTCGTTTTTCCTTATGTTATACAGTTGAAGTAAAAATTATTAGCCCCTTTTTTATTTATTTTTTCTATATTTCCCAAATTACATTTACATTTAGTTAAACAGAGCAAAGAAGTTTTCA